GGTTGGCGAGTTGAGTTAAAGCTTTGCTGTGGATCGATGTGTGTGTTGAAGTATAAAAAAGTATGAGTACAAATGCGTAACACGCTAATGCACAAGTAAATTCAGTTAATATTTGCCTAGAACCGGGTTGCTTAGGATAACCTAGCAGTTAAAAAATGGAAGATCCCTTGTTAGTTTAGTTGTATTCGGAAATCATCAGTTAATCTGATGAGTGCTGAGAAAAAAATTGGACGATTTTATTCAATTGAAAATTACTTCGACTTGATACTGTTACTGATGGTAGCACCTTGTAATTACACATACGCTGAAGAGGACCACACTATAAAAATAAGATGTTAATGAATCAATATTATCTTCAGTAATTACCGCATGTTTTGATTACTTCATACATTGGTTTTCAGCAAAAGCATAGTATAATCTCCATAAAATACACCGAGTTTTTCATATGTAGGTAAGTGGTTTGTATGTAGTATGTATATATAATATATGTATACCCAACGAAAGCACTTGTTGAAGAAACGTCAGCGTCAAGTCATGGCGTAATGTATAAACTGTGAGTAATTGGTAACAAAAGCAGCATTTAATTGGATAACACATTTTCGTGGGTGCGTGTTGTATTGCAATGCATAAAAACCGTATACAACATGTAATATTACGTATACGCCATGTCGTCGATGCAATAAAAATATCTGCAGTTTCGCAATTTAAATCAACCATTAAACTTCGCATCAGTAAACCTCTATTAGTACAGAAGCTGCTGTACCGTGCTAGGATGATGCTCACATCGGGTATTTCCACCACACTTCCCACAATATATTACTATTCTTACTTGGTTATAGTAGGAAATATAATATTTGTCTTCACACATCTCTTCACCTTTTTCTCTATTTTAGGTACTGCACTTAATAAAATTTGATGTCGATCGAAGCGTGGGAGTGGAAATCGAAGAGAATCACACATACTTAGGTACATCGTCGCTCGAAGCAGGGTATATGATGTGGTAGCGTCCGTCATTTGATAACAATGACCGCTTTCAGAATTACTGCAAGGATTCGGCCGTCTTATATATATAGTATTGTTATTCCCTTTGGCAGTATACATATTTAAATTATGACAAGTCTAACAGCATGACCTTTAGGGCTTCCGATAGATACTTTAAAAAAATGATTCAGTTAAAAATTTTAGTAATTATTCAGGATTTTAAGTAAAGTTACATTAACTTAAAGTTACATCCAGTTATGGAAACTAGACTAATTATTATTTAGAAATAAATTCCTACTTTCTTGCATAGAGCGATTGGAAAATTTCAGACTAATTCTTGAGATTGATAAGTAATCCTTTAAAATAAAATATTGTTGAAATTAAATTATCATAAAATTTTTATACTGTTCAGCATTTAAAATATTTTCTTTATTCTGCTTTTCTCCAGTCTCCGTCTGTACACTCTGATAACGATACAAAAAGATAACGCATTTTAAACGGCGATTGGTAACTTCATCTCTCCGTAAGGATTATTCAAACTACATTAAAATTAGCGTAGCGTCTGCAAACGTAAAAACAAACAAACTAAATTAATTGAAACAACTTTATTATGCTTGCACTCTAAACTCAAGAAGGATATGTTTTTATTTGCAACATTTTGCTACAGCGTATAATAATTTGGTTCACCTGACAGTTGTTTGTAGCACGTAAAACTAATCGAGCAATGAAACGAGTAGAAATGGGAATGTATGTTTGTCCGTCCGTGCAACTGATAACTTGTGCATTAACCAAAACCGATGAAATGCCATAACGAAGCACTAAATTATTATTGTATGTACATCTCCCTAACCATTCAAGCTATATCACCCAAATTTGCACTGCACATATCAATTACACAGCGGAACCAGACGCGTTATTTACTTTGTTTTATCAAAAATTACTAAAAAATTTACTAATGAACAACTATATGCTGCATGCCCTGTGATGGTTTTATATTATATATGAACAGTTGTCAATATTGGTCGATGGGTCTGACCACGCCCACAATAAGTAAAAATCCATATCACGGGATCTACTAGACCGATTGCAACCAAATTCGTTACATAACATAATATTGATATTCTTACACTGCGGTGTGCAAATGTTGGAAATCAGATCTAATAGAACACAATTGGAGACAATATCTGATTCTTCGACTTTCCCCTATACAAATCAAGAAAACCTCAAAGTATTCGCATAGAACTTTGCACATATAGAGCTCTCAAGGTAGTTAATTTTACGCCCAACATTTTTTTCAAATTCATTCTGTAAATTTCCAAAACCTCAAACACCAGTGCTACAGCTCATTTTTTGCCGAGAATATTCCTTTTAGCTATTTTTAATGGGTGATCCATTACGAGGTTCCCTGTTAAAAAAAAAAACACCAAAACCGCTAATTTAATAGGAAACCTTTATTATCATTTGAAGAAACTGAATCGAAGCGGAAAAAAGCTAATCGCCCGACCCAAAACGTTAAATTATCTATTTTATGAAGTGTTCTCTTAATAAATCAATTGAATGATACGATTTGTAGAAGTGGCGCTGTCTTGTTGAAACCAAATGTCGCCGAGATCACGACCTTCAATTTCTGGCATCAAATAGTTAATAGAAATATGGACCGATGACCAGCCCACAAATCACACCAAACCTTTTTTTTTTCTCTGGATGAAGTGGTTGCTCTGGAATCTCTTCAGATTGGCCTTTGTCCCAAAATGCCTCAATTTTGCTTGTCTATATATCCGTAGTCGTGGATTGATCGGTCGAATATTATCCAAAAATGCATGGTGGGTCCCAAGATGAGTGATAGTGTAGGCAATTGTACTCTCAGTCATCCGATTATAATGTTCATAAGTTGGGTGAAACGCCAATGTTCCGTTGGACCTCTACATATCCATATGTAAACTGGGACAAACCATGTCAATTGGTCTATGAAAATTTCGCAAAATCATCGATTTTGAAAATTAGCAATTCATTAATAAGGGGGTCAGTCACATACCCAATATAACAATTTGGAAAAAAAATTATTATTTTTTTTAAGTTATTGAAGGTTGAAATTTAGAGCACGATAAAATTGTAAAATTATTTTCTCTCAAATTGAATCGATTGAATTTTGTAAAGTCAAAGAAAATGTTCGTGCTATTTTATAAATACTTTTTCATGGTCCTTTTGTTTATAAATAATCTGCAAACAAATTTTTGTAAATTTATACCATTTCAAAGCTATGGTATATTTTGTTCTCCTACCTCGTATGACACAACCATCGTTGCGCAATGCGCTAATGCTTTTCTTGCGTCATAGATGTCGAAAGCTTACGAGCGCACTACGCAAAGATATATATATACATATATGCATGCCTCTGTAAAATTTAAAGTTTGCCACCCCATTAAAGTTAAATAACAGCAAATGTGGTAGAAATGGTGGCATCCTGCAATAATAATAACAACAGAAAATGACCACCGAATTGAGGCTTTTGGTTTGTTCAAGCTTCATTTTAGTTATTAGGCAAATTTTCGAAAAGTTTTCCTGTAAAAAAATTTAAGTTATATGCAGAACATGGTAAAGCGTTTGTTTAACCAGCCATACACATCAATAAGCCATTAGCGGCCATAAACTAAATATAAGAAGTTATTCAAACTCTTGCAATTTAGCTGCACTTAAACATTTCAAAGCTACTTTTTATTCAGCAGTATGCCCGTATTTGTACTCCGAATTTCAATACCTACTATGCCACATTTTATGTCTTATTACTATTTATTTCTTTTTTGTTCATTTTTTCAAACTCTTTCGATCACGTTAAAATAGTGACATTACATTAAGCAAAAACGATCGAAGAAACCGGTTCGAGAATCTTTATTTTGCATTAAGGTAGTGGGAAACATTATTGAATTTTGAATACGTTTCATAGATTTTTTATTGATAAATATATGTGCTACATAATTTTATATTACAAATATTACGTTATTGCAACTTTGCAACTTTGCTTTGTCGAGCAGTTTAGAAGCAAATATTTGAAATCAAAGGGAGAATGAAACATCAATGTTTTCTTTTTAAGAACAAATAGCATTCGACTTAAAAATAAGATGTTTGGTATTACTTAACATACAGATTTTGCACTCAATTTAGTTGAAGATTGTGGTGTTGTTAAGAAATGGGACCTAACCTAGTACTGTTTTGATCCTATTATTATTCGTATTTTATTCCGATTCATATGAGACACTTATGTATAATTTTGCTGTGAAATAATATAACTAATCGTATATCCTAATCATTATGTAATTGTGAGATGGGTTAAATCAAAATTTTTCACGAATATCCCACGTAAGTTGTCTCAAAAATTTATTCAAACAACAATAAAAGTCTGATTCACTGATAATTTTTACACAATGTTTAATTTAGCAATAACCTGTGTGAAATATTTTTAAACAACTTTATATAATGAACAGACTTTTCTTCTCCTCCTTTTTTTTCAATAGAATTGTATCTGGAATTCAATTCAAACTCACCAATGTTAGATGTGTTAATATCGTTCTTTCAAACTTAAAAAAGTTTCAAATTTAGTTGAATTGGTCTGGAGCAAAATTTAAAAGTGTTTTGCAGACATTTTCAATTACTTACCACAAGTGTTCATTTAATTTGGTGATTTGTAAACAAATATGTCAAACAGGAATCACGTGGTCAAATACTAACCAAATAAAAGCTTTAGCAACACTTATCTCCTTCATTGAACACACCCAACAATGTAACAATTTAAATAAATACAGAAACCGTTGTGATTTACGTGAGTACCTGCCCGCGAAGGCCTAACCTCACGGTGCTTTCTGTTGTTAGAAGCTCCAAAGCAACAGTGACCAACACTTTCAACATACTTACTTATTTGGTCAGCAAATTTTCAGCAATATCCATAAACTTCCTTTCCGCCAACAAACTCACCTATACACTGATTATCACGTTTCAGATGGCTTCCAGAGTATCATATCGATCATACAGGTTAAGCAAATGATCAACTACAAGAATAGCATTGCCTTCAAACCGATGGGCGAACGCTGAAAATACTCGTATAGTGGCTGATAGCGGATGCATTAAAGAAGTAAGTAATATGAAGCGCACGCCGACAACTTTCCTGCAACATGTCAGTCATACTGATTTAATCTCGGTTTTTTTTTCGTTCTGTTCTCTCTCTTTTTCCCAACCGTAAAATAGATTACTGGGGACTAGGGCCCAATGCTGTATGGAAGCCTAACTTTATGGTGCTCTAAAATGTCATCAGTATAGTTGTACGCTGTACCTTGGAAGAACGTGCTGAGTTGCCATGCACTGTTCCTCTCGCCCGTTGACTTCGTATCGATTGCTTTAATATTGCTCTTTGCCACATAAATGCCGAACTGAGTGTGAGGTGTACAAACATCAGGTTGGTCTATGCAGTACCGGAAAATGTTGTTGTAGTTCTAAAATATTCGTATCTACACTCTTTGTCATTCTACTTGTACAATATTTGAGTATTCGAAAAAAAATATTTATAGCTTGCTTTCCGGTTTTCGTGACATTCATCAATTGATTAAGTAGTTATTAAATAGTTATAACAGAAAATTGGCTTTGAAAGACAAAACCCTCTATAGTTTATTCGAATACTTTGTAACTTGAATAGTAAACTTTTAAAAGAATAATACGTTTCGCGTATTGTCTAGGCTTTCAGTGATAGTTCAGAAAGGTCAGTGGTGCAAATAAAGATAATTTTACAGTTTTGTAACATTTTTTATTGTTTATAACACTTAAAACATATTGAAATACTAGATGTGTTTCAAAGTAAACAGGGCTTAAAAAAAACAGAATACAAGTTTTTTCGGCAAAATCAATTTATTTTATTCAAAATAGTCTCCTTCTGCTTCAATACAGCTTTTTGCACGGTCCAAAAGCAATGAGTGTTTCGCTCGTTGGCCTGTGCAAGCCTTTTGAATGGCCTCTTCGTCTGCATTAAGCTTACATTTCATGGACAAATTTATGTTCCCGAAAAGGAAGAAGTCGCGCGGTGCCATGTCAGGTGAATAAGGGGAGTGGTTAATGGTTAAAATGTGATTTTTGGTCAAATAATCGGCAACAAGCGTCAACCGATGAGACGGCGCATTATCGTGCAACACACTCCAACTTTCATCTTCGCGATATTCGGGATGAACACGTCGAATACAGCGCACCAAACGCTTCAAAATTGTAAAGTAAAATACCGCATTAACGTTAACATTAAAACAAATCAGTATTGTATTCGCTTTTGACTTCTTCATGCTTGATTTTTTTGGTTTCGGCTCATCCGGCGCTTTCCCTTCAGCACTCTGGCGTTTCGTTTCGGGATCATATTGGAAACACCACGTTTCGTAACCAGTCATAATATTGTAAAAGAAGTTTTTGTCCTTTTTGACCTCTTTAATGATGTCCTTCGAATGTTGGGTTCTGATCAATTTTGGGTCGTCACACCTTTCGTAAGCCCAAATATTCGGTCAAAATGCGATAAATTGTTGTTTTGGAAATGTTCAATTCCCTTTCCATGAATTTCAATGATAATTTCGGCAAATTTCGGCACAGTCGCGATGGAATTTCGGGTGATCACGGATTTTGATTGGCCCACATTTTGATCGTCATTTATGTCCTCACGACCACTTTGAATAGGCAATCATCACCATAAACTTGTATCATAAAACAAATTTAATGTTGGGTTTTTTTGAAGCCCATTTTCGCACCGATAACACAAACATACTGACACTTAAAGCGCAATAACTTCACTTCCAATTGATGAAATGTCACGCTGGACAATCGATAAAGATAGCAGATTTTAACGCACCAGTCGACATATAGATAGCGCACCAGGGGGCGCTAGATTCAAAAAGTCCTTTTTTACGAGTACTTTAGAACACACCTTGTAGATATGAAGAAGCTTTGAATATTTTACTTAAAAAATGGCTTCAAAATTGGACAATGTGCTTGGCGCGGGTCCCTAAAATATTTTATATATACATACGCCATACAGGTATATAACTTTTACGCTGACCTAAAATGCCATAATCATTATACAAAATCAGTAAAATACGTTCTCAAATTTTCATTGAGATAACTCAAATATTAGTTCATATATCCAGCATAGAATCACCAGGAAGTTCGAAAATCTTTATCAGGTTTATGAGGGCTCAGGGAAATATTGACCCGATTCCTCCCATTTTGGATACACATAATGACTATTGCAGGATGAAGATTCTATCTGAATTTCTATTGCATATTTCACACATTGACCGATGTTTTCGAACAAAAGTCTACTATACAAATTTTTACGTTTCTGACACATTTAGTTATTGATTTAGCGCGCTTTTAGTAATTTTGAACAATACCCTTGTATGGGGACTCGGTTTTTTTTTTTGTGCTAAAGATCTTGCATTCCACGTTTCTTCAAGATATCTAAATTTTTACTCAAGTTAGAGCTAGCTCGGACGCACAGGACAAGCAGTCAACCGGTTTTCAACTTTTCTCGTCACCCTGATCATTTATATATACTCGTATGTACATAATCTTATGTCTATCTTGATTAGTTTAATGTGATACGTACAACAGTTAGCTGAACAAAACTTTAGTACTTTGTAGCAACTGGTTTCTAAAGTATAATAATGTTATTTCTAACTGTTTGTTTCACAACATATGTAAAACTATTAATATTAGTATCTAATGTATCTACTTACATACTAAAAACCGTCATTATCTGCTTCTGTTATTTTACAGGCAAGGGTTTAATTGCTGTCATTGGCTCACCCGACAACAAATTGTCAAAAGCCTGCATTGTGTCCCCGCATTGGTTGGCGACTCCCGCTTGCATCATTGCGTTCGTTTACTTTGTCATTTACAATTTGATTTTGGTGTTACGTTGCACTATAAAGTAACAGCATATAAAGGAAGGAGAAGCGGCACCAGTGTGGCCGCTAACCCGAACACGGCAATACCAGCATTGATCCTTCTCAGGGATGGAACATTGGGAAAATATGTTTGAAATGTATGGGCACATCTTTGATTACAGAAGTTGTAGTTAATATAAATTGATTGAATTTAATTTAAATTAAAATGATTTTTGCAATAGAAGACGCCTATGTGTGAACTTACGTTGCAATGGAATGTTTGGAATCAGTAGACACAAAAACAAAAGCAATAAATGGTTCTTAGATGTTTGTTACCATTTAGTTATGATTATATACACATACATAATTTGTTGGTGATATTTTAATAAAAAAAAATAAGTAAGAACTATGGTAAGTTCGGGTATAACCAAACATTTTATACTCTCGTATCAAGCAACGATCGAAACCTAGGAAGTACATTGGTAAAATTTTATACTAACTATGGGAATATTGGTCTGAATCATCAATTTTACCAAGCGGATGTACTGTTCTTAGCATGAAACTATTTTTAATTTCATTAAGATTTCTTACATATAAAAATATTTATATCAGATAAATGGGGCCTAAGGACATATTGTCGTCACAAATATAGTCTTCCCGAATTTTAATACTAAAACTCACAGATCGACCGATATGTTCGGTAAAATATCAGCAAAATGCACTTATATCCGGAAATTTGGTGTCTGCATACGTAAAAATCTATAACCTAATTTCAACAACTGTACAAACATCTATGACGATGTATTCACTCTGGTTTGAGTTGTGTATTGAAGTTGAAATAATTAGCTGAATTTCAAAGTTTGGTTATTAGAGAAATGTGATTGTCAAAGGTATTCACATTATATGATTGGAATGGTTGGGTAACCACATACCAAATTGGGTTGGTTGGTCGATTAGTCGGATAGTTCTTGAGAAGCCCATAAAATAAGGTGACATTGTATTTATTTTGAAAATTCTTTATTTATTCTTCCAAATCAATTTCATCGCCTTCAACGTAATCCACATTAGATGTAGTACATTATGCCAACGGATTTTCCAATCTTCGAAACACTGGTTGTAGCGTAACTTTCCGGGATGGCCTTCAGTTTCGTCTTAGCTGCGGCTTGAATATCGTATAAAAACGATGTCCCCGGAGCGGTCTTTTGAGTTTGGTGAATAGCCAGAAGTCGCACGGCGCCAGATCAGGTGAATACGGTGGTTGCGGAGTTGAGTTTTTGGCGAAATGATTATTTAATGCAAATTCTTTGCTCAACAAATTTTGAAAACGAAAAACTAACTTTTAGCAGCTCACAAAACGATACGAATCTCAAACACTAATGAATATTTTGACATGAAATTTGACATAAATGTGACTGACAGTACTACCAAACAAAAAAAAAATAATTCCCCAAATCCTTGGACGCGCACAGTTTAAATTCAAATGTCACCTTATTTTTTCGGCACAGAGTATGCCACATAAAGGTGGGTAGTGGCCGTTGTCCAAACTTTACACTTGCTTTCATAAAACTCTTCCTCTTAATCTTAGTTTAGAAATTGAATGGTTCTGGCGCATTTATTCAGAGAGCTATGGCACTTCTAGTAGTTTTCAACATATACATAGAGTGGACGTGACAGTTCCGTGATTTTACCAATTTTCCCAGCGAAAAAGGTAAAAATACTTGTTAGCAAATTTGGTTGAGTTAGCTTTATAGGTTTGGAAGAAATGTACAATTTTAAAAAGTTTCTACAAGCAGGTGTCCTTTAAAACAGGCGTTCCGTGCAGTAAATTGCAGTTGTGTATCATAAAACAGTGCTTGTGGTAGTTATGACACTTTATATGTTTTTCTAATGTCTTATTACACTCTCAGAAGTACATTCTTTGTTCCCAAAGAATACGTTTAACAGTCTTAATCAAAATAGCTCAAATTTTGGAATCAACGGGTTTACGACTCGTCATTCTAATCGTATCATACCATAATCATGGTTTTCGTATCAGTTTTAGCTTGTAAATAAATTTATTAGATGTATATCTTATTTGTGTTTTAATTGCTTAGCAAACAATAGTCATTTACTCCTTTTAGATTTATGTAGCTGAAATGTGATAATATTTACTTGTAAATTTGATTGCTGTTTTTGCAAATAGAATGTTTCAATATTTTCGCTGGATGTGATTTCCAAAACTTTTATAACGTCCATATATGCATTAACAAATAGTATTCATTCATTCGTTTTTCATAAAAATACTTCATAGTGAAATGTCCTAAATGAGTGTGTCAAAATAACATTTTTGTTTCAAGCAATTATCATGCAAGAGTTTAATAATGCAACCAAAATGCTTTTGCAGTAAAAAAATTAAATTTTTGGTATACAGAATAGGAGCTGTGCGAAGGTAAAGACCGACTTCCTTATTTTTAACCGAGTGACGTTCTTGATGTCATCCAAATATAGATATTTAACTATACGCCATATAATATAACTTAATAAATTACCAAATTTGATTGTGACTCATTCAAGATTTCTTCAAATAATGAATGTTTAACTCTTTCGATATTTTTATATTCTGGCTACATGTTGCAACAAAGCTTTTTTCATCTTTGTATGCATCACCAAAAAATCACTAAAATATTTAAAAGTGTCCAAATAAAAAAAAATGTTCAAGTAACCAGATATCGAATATTTGCATCGAAGTTTCAATTGCAATTTTTTTATGGAAAATATCGGAAAATTTGTGAGATTCATTATATAAAATCTGTGAGAGTCCTTTTCTAATAACATTATGACTTCATGTTAGAAATGCGTTGAAACGGGTATATGATTTCTTAATACAGCCATATATATTTAAAAGAAAGATTTCCGAAGTACCAGTTGACTTTATACCGCATATATCGCCAGATGTGTGAATTATTTTAATAAAATTGAGGGAGCGTGTTTTCCACAATGTGCACCTTTGTGCCTAAAATGGATACAATCGGATGATGATTTTTCCCAGACTATAAGGCGTCTTAAAAATTGTATGCTCCTGAAGGTAGTTTCCTAGCTTTAATCATTTATTACCTGTTTAACATTGTTTGGTTACCTGATGTGAGTGGATTATGCAAGATATTAGTTCATTGGACCACTACTTAATGTCTGATATGAGTAAAACAATTAATATGTGTATGCGTGGTAGTCGTCACAATTTCACAATTCACGGACTGGTGGTTCTACAAAAAAAATTGTGTCTTCATTTGAGCTAATTGATTTAACAAAGCAACGACTCTTGATTCCATTGCAATTGCTCGCCACCAAACTTGTCCTCTACACAAGCAGAAGGGTACGGATTAATAATCATAAATTCTCTATGTCATGTGGAAATTCTGCAATCCTTTTAATCCGATCGGTTTGTCCCATAATATTTACGTTTTACTTAATTTTTCAAAATCGGACACAATTTCTTGCATTCTATACTTTTAACTTTTATATTTTCGCAAAATGTTGAAACAAAATATAACAATTTTGTTTCCTCAATCATTTAACACATATAAGCAATCGAAATAGATATTGTATACATATAACACGACATTATAGAGACGTTTTAGCAGGGTTTCCAATAAATTTTGTAATGACACGTCACACAACATCTTGGGGTTGCTATTTTTTTAATCAAAAAAAATATTGCGGATTAAAAATTAGAGATATGGTACAAAGAAATTTTTCTTGAGAAAGCGTTTTAAGATATTGTGGTTTCACTTTTTAATGTGGTTTGCTTAATTATTTCACTTTAACTGACTTACGTCAGAACAAGGTTTACAAATCAACTTTACAACGAAAATTAACATTCTCAACTAATAATCGGTCCACTGGGCGTACTATTCGCAATACCATCACCCATCTTGAGACCAAACTTTCATTGTTGAATAATATTCTACCGAACAGATCACGTCCAGCACGAAGTGAAAAAAATATTGCAACCGTAACTGAGAGTGAACATGAAGACTGTGGAGAGTCGATTTGGCGCCATTCGCAGCAACTCGGACTAACGTATGTAGCGATTTGGTACATTTTAAGTTGAGACCTTACATTAAAAGCGTATAAAATGCAGCTTATGCAAGAACTGAGGCCGCTAGATCTTTTCAAGCGACATCGCTTCGCTCTACGGTCTCTAGAAAGTTCCAAGAAGATCCGACGTTTTCGAGCCAAAATCTGTTCAGTGATGAGGCCGATTTCTGACTCAATGTGTATGTAAACAAACTATATTGTTGCACTTGTGGCAAAGAGTAAAGTGTTGAGATTTCAGAGCGGAAATTTCATCCAGAAAAAACAACGGTTTGGTGTGGTTTGCAGGCCGGTGAAATCATAGGTATATATTTCTTCAAAAATGATGCAGCAGAGAACGAAACCGTCAATAGCGACTATTTGATACCTGAAATTGAACAAGATTTCAACGCCACTTTCTTTCAACCAGATAGCACCACTTCCTACATATTGCTTTATCCGTGGCTTTATTGAGAAAAAAGTTCGGTTTGCAGATTCATTTTGGTGGCCGCTCGATTGGCCACCAAGTGAAGTGATACCGCTAGACTTTTTTCAGTGGGGATATATACACTTTAAAGTCTACGCGGACAATTCCCTTTATATGCCTGTAGTCATGTTCATAATATGAACAAGATACCATGATGCCTACTTTAGTAAATATGTGTGACAAACCGTCACTTGAAGTACATTCATTCAAAATCCTGATAGCCATATAATATATATATATACATTAAGTGTCAAATATATATAGGCATATTTATATATCGTTGATCCAAAGTGATTTCATAATGACATACTCTATCCCTTAAACATAAATATACTGTATATTACAGCTGTTGATTCAGCTGATTGACATATTTTATACAACCACTGTTTACCTTAACGGATGTGTCCATTACGTTTATTTCTTTGAATGTTTTCAGAGAGATCATTTACAGAGTCAAACAGAAGTGGGTTATGTCTGATTAGTAACACAATTGCTTGCATATAATAACATAGTTGGATTAGTTTTAATGTCTATGAAAAGAATTGTAGATAACTTTTATATTCGAAATCTTATGCAATGTGATTTTTTATGCATTTAGATTTATTTATTTTTACTTCAAATGTCGGAAAATAGATGATT